ATAATAAAAAAACTAATAATAATAATAAAAATAATAATAATAATAATAATAATAATAATAATAATAAGATTCTCATGATTTTGAGATTCCTGGGAATTTGAATAACACCATGTTGGGTGGTATTCAAATTACCTCAAAATGAGAGAAAGTTTTAAAGGATTCCCATACTTTTTTCAAATTACCCCATTCCTCAACAATTCCTTACGATCCTCTTCCACCATCATTTGAAAGTGTTTTGAAAGATTTTCATACTTTTTTGGAAACACTCGAGCCTTCATTCGGAGTCACTTTTGCTCGCCATCGGAATAAGTGCTCCAAACAACGTCTTCGCTCTCAGAGCAGCCCGCGTCTGCTCTCGAAATGTTTCCTCATTTGAGCCTTATCCACCGTACGAGTCACTTTCTTTGCTCTTGGAGCAGCTCGCAAATGTTTCTAGTGCACTGCTATGTCAAGGCAACATGCAACATGCAACCTCCAAACCTCCTCTCTGTCAAATACTTAATCACTCATCTCACGATTCTTCATCTTAATAGTTCCATATATATATATATATATATATATATGTATGTATGTATTTATACTTTGCAAGTTCTCTAATAATTTTGTAAGGGAATTTCGGACATTTGGCAACGTAGCATGCCTAGGATTTGTTTTCTTCGGGCCTTACCATCTCCACCTCTCCGTAGGAGGTCTCATCTACATCATCTAGTTTCAAAGCTTGTTAAGTATTTTGGCCATGTTGGATCCGCTTTTGACAAGTTGGTTATCTAATAATTATTTCAACACCTGACACGTCATACCAATTTGAATAGTTTGATTGGAAATTAATCATGAGTAATTTATTAGTTGAATTAAGGTTTAAGCTTTTATTAAATATGGAAATATAAATACATATCTATTTTAATCAAGTAATTACGACATTGAGTTAATTGAAATTAAATTGAGGTTGTTTTATTGTATTAAATAAATAAGCATATAAACCAATCGGCTTTGTACCAGTCGATCAGTGGTATAAACGGAATGTAACTTAGCATGAAGATTTACTATGTTGACCAACTGACCAGCAACATACTACTGATTTACCTTAACTTGTCGACCGGTTGAAATACACACCACTAAAATAGGTCAATCAATTGCAGTGAGAAAAAAGGTAATCTAATTAATCCAATTTAACACGCGATTTTAAGTTTTGAAAAACCTATTGGTTGTAGAAATAAGATTTACCAGTCACTCTAAATAGTCATTAAGTCACATTAAATCTTAGATCACTTGAGTGATTTTTTAGATGCTATAAGAGGAGCTTCCTGAGAGAAAAGATAGATCAAGTATGAAGATTGATTTTTTAAATATATTAATTTAATATGCTAAATAATATGTTAATAGTAGTTAATAATAAGCATATACGTAATTACTAGTAATGTACTCATAATTATTAGTTTATAAGTAATTAACTAATGTATTAATAAAATTTTTTAGTATGTATTAATTTATTAGTATTCTATTTATTAATCAAATAATTAACTTTTAATTACATAATTACGTAATTAGTTAATTAATTACTAATTTTTATTTAATAACATGTTATTTAATATCTTACATGATCATTTTTTGTAATTATTCTTTAAATAATAATTAATTACTAATGATCAATTATTAACCATTATGGATCATTATATTACACAATTAATAATAATAGTCTAATATTAATTATTAATTGAGTAATTGCTATTTATTTATTAGACTTTTTATATGAACACCCCCTTAATTTTTCAAATTTGACAATTTAATTCTTATTCTTTTTTTTCTTGGCAATTACCCCTTCAATTTGAAAGTCCTTGCAATAAAGGACTTTTAATATCGTCTGTGAAATTCATAACAGATATTGGCATGTGATTTGGACATGACTTCTTTTTAAGGGTATTAGTTGTCATTTTTTACACAAAAATATGAAAAAAATTAATTATTTTTTAAAATAAAAATAAAAATTAATTAAATAATTATTTAAGTATGTAATTAAAAGTTAATTATTTAATTAATAAATAGAATACCAATAAATTTTTGATATACTAATTATTTAGAATTGGTCTCGTAATAATTCTCAAAACAATCTCATTTTTACTTTTATAATAAAATCATTTTGAAAATGTTACTAAACGAGCCCTTAGTTTTCGTCTTCCAATTTCTTTTAACACTTTTTTTAGTAAGGGAGAGAAAAAAATAATGGAAAGAAAAGCACATAAAAGAAATAAAATGTCAAAAAAGGAAAATAAATCGATTTTTTTTTGTTGTGTGATATAATAGAAGGAAAGAAAATATGTAGCAGGCTGAATAACGATTTTATTAATTATTTAATATAAATTTAGCTTTAAATAAGATAAAAAAATTACTTTTGCCTTCTAGGTGATTTGAAGTTTTCTACCCAATATTGAAGAGGTAAAAAATTGATGGGCCCATAATAATTTTTATCCACCATATTTTCCTTTTTCTCTTCTCTTTTTTTCCTGCCAAACCCCATTTTATCATTTTCCGCCTAGAGTTGTAAGTTTAGACTGGCCCAAGACCCACTTATGTTGGCTCGAGCTCAACCCGACTAGGTCTAAAATTTTTAAGCTTAAGGCCGGGTTGAGTTGACTCTCTCTCTTTGAGGGCCGAGTAATATTATATTTTCATTAAAAATACCTTATAAAATTTTAATTCAGGCCAGACTTGTCCTACATTTTTTGGGCTTACACTGCACTAGAACGATCCTATTTCTTTTAAAACAGACCCAGCTCGGCTCAAAATTTCTCGTTAAACTGGCAGCCCAATTCAGACCGAACCAGACTTCTTAAACTTAGAGTGTATTTAATATGAGAATTCATATTATAATTTAAATTATGATTCATAACTTACTATAATATTTTTTTTCATAAAAAATAATTCTCAATTTGTAAACTAATGTCTACTTACACTTCTTCCGCCTAATAATCCCTCGACCCACTCCCAACCTTACTATATTCCATGGTGTCAAATATTAGCATAAATGCAAGTGTGGCACGTAGCCCGGTTCTGGAAACTTCAAGGTTGGAGAGCGCCTGACGGAGACAGAGAGGCCAGGGAAACCAATTAACTTGGTTCACTCGAGAAAGAGGGAGGGAGAGGAACAAAGAAAAGAAGGTTGCTGAGGAAGTTCGACATGGCAGTCCTAAATTTTCTTTCATGTCCTCCGATGGTCTGTTATCATAAATCCTTATCTTCTTCCTCCTCTTTCCTCTTCTTTACTCATTTTTCACAATTTGATTATTCTGAGTTTCTTTCTGATTTCTGTTCAACAGTTGAAACCATTTGCGTTGCCAAAGCAGTTGAGGAGTGGAATCATTAGTTCGAGGAATACTAGAAGATGTAATCAGGTGAAAGCGCTTTTCTTCAATCCCATTGAGGAACCCATTGTTAGGGAAGCTCTTAAGGTACTTCTGAAAGGCTTTTACTACCATCTACTCATTTTTGTTTCTTTTAATTTTTCAATTTTGTTGTTTTTTGTCTGTTGCTTGAGCACAACTATTTTGAGTTTTCTGATACTGGTTTGTGTCATTATTTCGTTGCTCTTGTACGATTGATTTCATAGATTATTGCTATTTGGCTAAAATTCAAGTTCCCAATATACTGGGTAGTTGTTTGTTTTACGGTAGAAGTGATTTTGGTGTGTTTGGTCCTCTTTTTTCTTTGCTCCCTTTTCTGTAGTTTAGTTGATTTGTTATAACTCCCCAATTTAACACTTGTGACTGTTGTTGGGGAATTTAGGCACCAAATTTATCTTCATTACCACTTGGTGTTGTGCATAAAAAAGAAGGTTTCTGAGGATTTTGTTGTGCAGCAGAAAACACATTTAAAAATAAATTAAAAAAAAAAAAAAAAACTCACATTCTTGTCCTGAAAGCTAAACATGGCAAGCAGATGAGTGCCAGGGACATCAACTCTAGTCCCAACTATTTTGTAGCAACTTATGTGGCATAGAACTGTCATATTTTCATTGGTAAATGTAGTTATTTATTATTAATTAATGTGGGAATTTTTTAAACAACTACCAATTAAAAGATAACAACTCACGTGCCACGTAAGTTGGTATACAAAAGTTGAGATTAGAGTTGGTGCCTTTAGCATTATTTGACTGTAAATTGCCTGCTCGACGTTTTTAATAATTTTAATCGGCTGCTTTCCCACTTAATCATCCTGTAGTTAGCCTAGCCATGTTTTTTGTTAGGGAGATTTGTTCCTTTAATGTCGTATGCACCTCATGTTTAATGGAAAACTGCTATGTTTTAACAGACACGCCAGAAAGTTTAGGTGATTGAATGAGCCATAGGTGCTATTATGAGAGAATGAGTAGACTTTAGATGTACCCAATAATTTTAATCCAGTTAGTTTTTATCAAGGTTGTAGTGTTACAAAGCATTATTGTATTTATTTATTTATTTATTTATTTTGCTCTGAACATTCTTGTATTTATTTAATACAAAATCTAGTGCGACAAAGAATATCACATAAATGGGTTATGCATAACTGTCTCACTGGATGCATTTGGTAAGTAAGAATAGGAACAAGAGAAATATCATATTTGGAGGATGATAGGATTGATAATTTGCACGAACACAATGGAGAAATAACGTTGAGTTTTGAAGTTTGGAACCATAGCTGTCTTTGTTTCACATCAATAGATAAGAAAGCTCCGTTGCACGGTCTTCTCATTTCTGAATTCGACTTAGAGGGTTATCGAACCAAGATGCTGAGTGCTAAGTTGTCCATATGCTGTGATGGGAGTACCTTGTTATGATGCTCTAGCCCTTTAAGTCTAAACTGAGGTACTGAAAGAAGAGTCACCCATGGGGTGTTGGTTTGAATGGTTTGGCCTTTGGTTTGCTTCCACAAGGTCTGGAGTTTGAACCACCTCATGGGCACCCATATGAAAAGAGTCTTAGTTTCCTGCCTTCCAAAGATTGTAGGCAGAGGGCTCCAGTTTCAAACTCGGATTCACAAAGTGAGTTATGGGAATTTTTAGATATAAAAGAAAAAAAAAGTACATAAAGAAGAGTCATGGAGTTATTAGGAGCTCTAACTAATCTGGAGAAAATTAATGGCTAGAAGAAAAGCTCCTAGAAAGCCTAAAACATGATAAAGTACCGAGCATAGCGGATTAGAAGTAAGGAAGAGTTTAATGAATGTTAGTAGGTGAGACTGATATTGAAGTTTGTCAACTGTTCGCTACAACATGCCTTTTATTTTTACAATTTCCATGACACGCTTAAGTTCTAGCAATTTATTTTGTCGCCGGAGATTTCCACACATGATAGTTAAATACTGAATCTCAAACTTGTATGCTAGATAAAACACTCTTAACTATTCTGTTTCTTGTACAGTAACCTATTGAAAAGAAAACTATGGGCACGTTTGGAACTCGTTCCAAAACAATTTTGTTTTCTGTATGAAAATGAAAATGAAAATGTTTTCATTTTCAGGCATAAATTATTTCTAAAAATGTGTTTGGTAGTTTTTTTTTAGAAATTATTTTCAGTTTAAAAAAACTAAAACTGCGTTTGGTGGTGTAGCAAATCAACAAATCAGACAAAGATTAGCAAAAAAAAAAAAACACCCAGATCATCAGTAAATACCGGCAATGCTCGAAACAATCACCAAATCAACCACTGCTAATTTCCAAACCAACCGCTTTATGGATGGAAAAGAGACACATTCCAGCCATATCCTCATCAAATCCAGATAAAGTTAGTAAAAAAAAATCGCAGCAAATATCCAAACGCATTTTCAGAAGGGGGATCACCTCAGGCGGTGGTTGCAAACATCTTCTCTCTCTCTCTCTCTCTCTCTCTTCTTTGCCTCCACATTCCCAAGTTCCAATCGCAAAACAAGGTAAAACATCTTCTTCTTTCAAACTATCTCAGCATCGCCGGAGCAAGCGGCGTGGGGAAAAAGAGAGGCACCGATGGGGAGCAGGATAGAGATGATTGCTGGGAGGCGGGGCAGATCTGGGGACCGGCAAGGCTCCGATAAAAATCCAAACAATTCAAAAAAATTATTCATCTTCATCAGGCATACTTCATGGGGCAAAAAGTACAAAAACCAAACAATCAAAAAAAAAAAAATTGAAACAATTCATCAGACAAATCTAAAGAAACAAAGAAAATGATATTTTTAGGTAGATTTGGGCATTCAAAGGACGAAATCAGCAAGCACCGGTCTTTTTTTCTTCTTCTTCAACTTCGACCGACAGGCGCCTGGATGTGATTCGCGATGTGGAGGTGGTAATCGATGGCGTGATACGCGACCCGTCTGACCTCTGTCCACTCGGATGATCGCGGCTGAGCTCCGTTCGTTTCAGGCGGTGGTTGCGGCGTAGAAATCATGGCAAGAGAACGGCGAGAGGGAGAGAAGAGAATGGCGCAGCGGGAGAGGAGAACGGCGAGAGGCAGAGGAGAACGGCTGGAGAAAATGAAAAGGGAAGAAATGAAAACGGATTTAATCCGTTTTCAGAAAAGTATGAGTTTTTGGGATGAAAACAAAAACGTTTTTGTTTTTGATTTTGGTACTATGCTTCCCCAAACACGGTTTCATGTCTGGTTTCAATTTTTCCTCCTCGGAAAATGTGAAAAACGTTTCCAAAACCGAAAACAAACGCGCTCTATGAGCTACCATATGGCTGCAGTATGCTTTTTTTCCCCCTCTTTTGTTATTGCTAGCATATATTAGCTTAAGACTTAAAAAATTTAAATAAAAAAGGGAAAAAAAAAGTCCCTCATGATTAGTACATATTCAAGCATCATCAGCCAATAACTGTCTGAATTCTCTACTGTAAAATCATGAGTGGAGTACAAACATAGGCTAACTTATTTTTACATGGATGGGAAAGAAATGCGACTTCTATTTTGGGTTTCTTTTGCTTATCATTCGAAAAGATTACAGGTGAAAGAGAGCATAGTTGGGTTTCTTTTGCTTATCATTCGAAAAGATTACAGGTGAGAGAGAGCATAGTTTGCATCGATAAGCGTGCAACTTACTACAGCAATTGCTTGCTTGTTGAATCTTGTTGATTGTTTTTGTCCCACATGCTAAGTAGTCTTATCAGTAATTGAGTTCATCTTGATTATTCAGGAACAAGAATTGCAAACTGAAACAGCGATGGCTGTTCTTCTTCATATGCATCTTGTTTTTTCATTTATTCTCTATGTTAAATAAACTAACGCAATGCTTTTCAATTCCGTAATTGAACTTATAAAGTAGTTTCGCAACTACCGGCCTTACAAAATGTTACCTGGCTTTGATCTCTCACTATGTACTTGGGCCTGATCTATGTATGTTTGTGTGAGGATGCGTGTAGTGTATTGCCTTATTTGCTCCGAACATTTCTGCTTGACTCTGTAGGAGCCAGTTGCTTTCTTGGGAGGGGTGTTCGCTGGCCTTTTACGACTTGATTTGAATGACGATCCGCTCAAGGAATGGGTTTCTAGGACTGTGGAAGCCTCGGGGATAACAACAGAAGAAATTGAAGGAGAAGGGTCAAAACCAGCAGCAGAAGAAGAAGTGCCGCAACAGATTGAGATTGAATGACTAGTATCTCGGTTAGGATACTTCTTCTTGTACATTTGACGTGTCATCTATGCCAGACACGGATGCAATACCATCAACACTTAATACATAAGTCAACTCATATACATTTAAAAAATAAAAAATCCACACATGATTTGCGTTTTCCCTGTTTTTTCATTGTGGTTGAGGTCCTAATTTCTGACCTGTCTCCCGGTATGTCTTGGATTAGTGTGTGACTTTGATTAGCTTTGCCCGGAGCAAAAAATGCTTAGATGTAGAGCTTTTTGTAGAACAGATCAGATAAGAGATTTCTTCTTGTGATTCGAACTTTTGGGTTAGGTTTTTTTTTTTTTTTTTTCCTTTCAATTTTTATCATTTGACAAAAAGATATCATGAAAAGAGGTATCGTGATTATTTTATAGCAAATGCATAAAATTTATGAAAATATGAGGGAACCAATGGTATCAAACATCACAACTAACAAATGATTCGATCTATGGAAGAGGAAAAAAATGCTTAGGATACTATTAATGTTGAGCACCACATCTATTAGAGGGCGGGTCTTTGGATGTTGCCCTTTATTTTATTATGATATGCTGCCTTTTGGGTGTGGGATTGTCTTTGAACACCACTATTACGTTTTAACATTGTTCTACCTGAGGGGCTCATAATTATATTGTGGGACTTACTTTCTATTTAGTATATGTTAGGTGGATACTAGTGGTGCCCCTTAGTATTGTTCAAAACGTCCGGTGCTTCTATTGATGATCAAATCTTTTATGGCTGGTACTTCTTTTGATGATCAAGTCTTTTATGGCTGTATGCACGGAGCCAATACACTAGCAGAAAATTAGGAAAAGAAAATACATATCAAAAGACAATAAGGAATAGAAACTCTAAACCGAAGAAAACATGAAGGTATTACTCGCATTAAGGCATCGGCCTTGTTTTTGCCGATTTGATTTTTCAATTCGGGTTGAGATGTGACTTTATTTAATTTTGTAATTGTAATAAAAAAGTTAGATGTGACTGTTTTTGAGAATTTTTAACTGTAGTAAAATTGAAATTAAAAATTCGAATTGGTGAAATGAATGAGGTTTAAATGATAGCAGTCTCTAAGAGATACTTTATAACTAATAGTTGGATACAAAATCTGATCTTACTATAACTAAGAACAAGATGTTCATCCTGGATGTTCTTAAGCTAATTAACGACACTAATCCTAGCTCCAACATTACCTTTATCTTGCCAAGGTGATTAGAAGTTGCACTTGGAGGTTTGATGATTAGCTACCTCAAATTTTTGTGAAGCTATTTTATGTAGCAATGACTTTCACCCCATGGCATGTGATATATTTTTCGACAAACTGCCTTTCTTGCCGATGGGTACCTTGTTTTGCATAACTCAACGCAAAATCTGTTTTCTGTGCAATGTATTCCCTTTTGGACGATAACTTTTGCCTTCACTTCTGTCATTCAAAACATTCAAAGAAAATTAAGAGCCCGTTTAGTTGGAGGATTCGTTCTTTGATTTGAATCATGGTTCATGGTTCGCTACATTATTTTCTCTCACAAAAAACACACGTAAATCGAAAATAATTCTAATCTCATGGTTCTAATCTATGAACTAAACAGATTTTTATCTGAGTCTCACAATGTACAGATAAATATTTTATTAAAAGAAAATGTACGGACAAATAAGTCCTCATGGATTTAGATTTTAGAGCATACAATTTCAAATTTATCTTAGCTTTTTTTATTGAATTCATTAATTGGTTACAGATGTATTGAGGATTTCAGTTTCTTTTAGATTTTATTCTTCTCAAATTCGGATTAGATTTGCGACACCTTCCAAAAACGAGGGTCAATTAATTATTTATTGAGATAAATAGGGACTAATAATGTTGAGAACATCAACTATAGTTCCCACTTTTGTATCAATTTCTCAACAATCATTCTTTTACTGGTAGCTTTAAAAGATTGACATATCATTAGATTACAATTGCAACTCATTAGTTACTCATTAGTTGGTACGAAATTTGAGATTGAAGTTGATTTTTCAAGCACTATTCAGTAGGGACTTTGTTTAGAAATTAGTATACAACGTATCTTTTATAATATATAAAGTATCATTCAAACTTCATATTTTGTATCTTACTTTTGGTCTATGGCGCATTTGCCTCCAAATCTAAACAAATTCTTTAGCTTACCCCTAAACTTTTAATTTGACAAATTATGTACCACTAAATTTAAGAACTTATTGCATAATGCCCCAAAATTAATGAGGGTGCTAAAATTTAAAAGAAAAGACATTCCTGTTGGTGATGTGACGCGCTCTATCGCTATTTAAAATTATGATCATATCATGTGCATGAAAGTGTTTTTGTCTAAATTTTTACTATTGATTTGGAGAATTTTACAATACTTTATTAAATTTAATGATTAATTTAAGAAAATCAAAAGTTTAAGAGACAACTTGTCAACTCATCATAAACAAACAAACAAAAAAAAAAGAAAGAAAAAGAACATAGTATGTATAGGGTCTGTTTAGTAAAGCTTCCTAAAAATTAGGGGTGGCAATTCATGTCACATGTCGTGTTTTGATCGTTTCTTTCTAAATTTGCAGTCAATCCGAACACGACCCGTGACACGAAATTTTTTAAAAACCGCGACACGAACACGATACGATCACTTTACAGGTTGACACGACACGACACGAAAATGACCCGTGACACAAAATTGACCCGTGAACCCGAAATTGATACGAAAATTGTATACTTTTATTTAATTTTTTACATATTAAAAATAACTTAAAATTCATAACACACTAAAATACAATAACATCCATTAAAATTAAGCAAATAATACTATAAGATTTTGAGTATAACTATCATGATATCATAAGTTCATAATAAAATCAAAATATGTAATGAAAAATATATGTATTTTTTAGTTTTTTACGAGTTTCGTGTCGTGTTCGGATTAGGCGGGTCCAACCCAAAATTGACTCGTGTTTTTCGTGTCAATTTCAGGTCGATCCAATTCTGACCCGAACCTCTTTTTTCTCAACCCTAACCCGCGAAATTCGTATCGTTTTCGAGTCGTGTTGTCGTGTCATGACCCATATTGCCGGCCCTACTAAAAATTGTCTTTAGCTTCCTGAGACAAAGCTTCTGTAAGTATTGAATGTTCTAGTAGAAATGTTTTAGGCCCCGTTCACTTCACTCGAGTTTAAAATTTGAGTTTTGCTACAGTAAAAAGTTCTCAGAAACAGTTACATCTAACTTTTTTGCTACAGTAAAAAGCTCTCACATAAAATCACATCTCAATTCGAATTAACAAAGTGAACGAACCTAACCTTCCAGAAAAGTTTTCAGTTAAAGTTACAATAGTCCTCAACTTAAGAGTATTTTTCAAGTTTGAGAGGATACGTTTTCTAGTTGTACAAAGAACGTAGTAGAATTAATGAGTGAATAATATATTCTTTTACAAAATTATGGTGTATTTTCAATATATAGTAAAGATCTTCGTTACTAAGCAGGACAAGGTGATCCGTCCATGTATGCATGGGGAAATGCAATGTACTTAGAATTAGAAGATCTAAATTGGCCTCCAATATAATCTTGCAAAATGTTAATGTGGCAAATTAAATGAAAAATGAGAGGGAACAAAAATCTGTAAAGTATGGAAAGTATATTGTAGTCTCAAATTTATTTGTCATCAAAATCTAAATAACTACAACCTAGAAGATTACAAAATTGCTCCCAAGCTTTCAACAGTATCTCTATCAAGATTATTATAAACTTTAGATCTAATCAAAATTACACAAAAGTGAAAAAAGTAGGCAAAATTGTCAAAATTTTATAAAGATCTTGGTTTAAAACAGAGCTCCAGCTGTAGGGTCTTTTTTTTTTTTTTTAACCCTATAGTAGTATTCATATTATGTTAAATATGTAAAGAAATAAATAACGTTATGAGACCATATTCTAGATAGCCATTATCATCAAAATTGAATACAATATGATAAAATAATAAATAAACTATATATGTCTTTCATTAAATGCTCAAGATGTTCTAAGGGTTAAACTAGGGGCAATAATGCATGATGATCTTGCGTTTCCAAGGTAATACCGATTTTGAGCCGAAGATGTTTGAAAATATCTTTAGATGTAAAACATCTCTCAAAATTCAGGAAATATTCAGATCTTAAATTTTTAAGAATCAACATATTAATAAGCGGAAGCATACCTGATTCTATGACAGTTAATTACTTTTTAGAGCCGTGCGATTTGTCTTTCACATCAATATGTTTTCTTAGAAAATTCTTTTAACTTTCTTTCTACTCTCTCTGATGATACGTCAGAAAAGAATAGAATAATAATAATACGTGTGATCTGTGGATCATAATAATTATATATAGATAACTTTCCTGTTATTTTTTAATATTTCTATTTTAACCCATCATAAAAATAGAAATTACCTTTAAGTCTTTACACATTAAAAGCTCACATTCTATTAGATACATTAAATGTCAAATTACTCAAACCTTAACAGACCACTTTTAAATGGACTTAACTTTATATGACAGTCTGCAACACATAATTATTCACCTATAAACTCAATATTGGATTAAAGATTCAACAGAAGAAAGCTAAAGTTTTGCAGATAAACTAACCTGAATATCCAAAGAAGATGATGAAGATAAAGACGAAGGTCAGAAAATAGGTGGAGATATTACGTTTAGCCATTTTCACTTTGCACTTCTACTGTAGAGAAAGCAATTGTTGGATTTATATCTAGTCTTTTTTTCCACTATTAACCATTTATTTGCGAAAAGTTAAAAGATATAATAATCTTTTCTGTCCAAAGAAGTGATACGTTTAATCTTTGGTTCTTTTGGCTCAACTAGCTAGCTAGTCCCGCACCACACCATAAATGAAAAAATTAGAGAATTTATTTTTAAGAGTCTATGAGTTTAGATTTTTTTTTTTTACTCTTAGTAAATATCTTTTTATTATTGTAATTATTTAATTAAAAAATTATGAATAAAGAGTAAAAAATAAAAATTTTGATCTATGCATTTTTAAAAAAAGTATTTATTAAAATTATCCCGACAAATTGATCAATTTTTAGGCCCGGCTAAGCCTGCCTATTGGCTCTTTAGTTTAGGAATAAGCCGTCTTTCAATTTTGTAATAGCAGATTTTGTATCATGAATGTTTTCTAAGAAAAAAAAAGTAAATAAATAAAAAAAAAAGAAAAGATCAAGGCGTATC